AAGAGGGACCGGCCAAGGAGACTAGCTCCCTCACCAATAGTTGGTAAATCAAACGCGTCGAGTCTCCCAGTACTCTGTAATTGGCGGTCGACGCGGGGTATCAAAAGGTGCGGTATATGTAGTCGAGAAAAGAAATCCTAGCAGTGAACTTGGAATGCGCCGTAGTCATCAAGGTCGTGTCATACATCAGGAGCAAGTCACTTCCTAGTACCATCCATGTGATAAGCCTATTTGAGTCTTGAGTCGTCATAAGAAGAGTCTTCGCTGATTTTGTTGTTTTCCTCTTTTTTTTTGGTTGATTTTCCATTGTTGATAAGATAGTGATAAGGAAATGTGAAATGAGTGACTTAGGTTAGTTGAGACGGCAAGGAAATAAAAGGAGTGGCAGGTGTCGTTTGGTCGACATTCGTTAAGTTGCGAGACTCTTCTTCTGAACGATCAAGATTACTTTAGCTTTTCACATGGCTGGTTGGACGTGACTTCGTCGCCTCTCTGAGTTCCCTGTGGCATCAACGGATGGTCGGGGAGTGAGATCGAGTAGTTTAGCACTTCCAGCGCTAAAATTGCGAACGTGACCTTTGCCCAGGTTGACGCTTCTAGCGCTCTGAACATTGGCAAGCTCTTGCGATGGAGATACGGGTGATGTCGGGCTCTCTTCATCCTCAGATTCAAGCTCCAAGAGTCCCTCGTGGCTCTTCATGGTGAATCTGTGCACAACTTGGGGCTGAGAACCAACAGCGCCCCATTTCATCTCTCCATCATTAGCAAACTCTTCCTCATCGCTGCTGGGACGTCCTTCACCGGAACGACGACCCATGAACTCAGAATTCGAGTTTCTTCGGGGAGTGAGCTTCGTTAAATATTCGTCCTCAACGATCTCCAAGTTTTCTTCCGTGCTGTTCGTTGGGGAATCCGTGTGCGCGTCGTTTTGCTCACGCTGATTAGCCCTTCGAATGCTATCTCGTATGGCGGCTCGACGGCCACTGGCATTACCGGAAAGCCAGGAACCTTCGGAGTCAATCGAGGCGAGTGACATGGACATGCCAGCTTCTGGTGACGGTGAAACATATGCACGTTCTACTGTCGAAGGCGTACGGCGAATGGCCTCAGCGGATCGGTGTCCCGATGTTGGTGTGTCATAACGCACGCCCAAGGACCTCAATTCCTCCATTTCACGGATCTTTTGTTCGGTGAGAATGGGCATGGGGGGCTCCGCTTCGGGCGACTGAACGCGTGAAGCTGGCGGTGAGAGAGGCAACTCAGGTAAGTCTTCCCGGAACCGAGAGCGCGTCCTCTTCGGGGCGCCAGTGCTTGGTTTACGGGATAGATAGTTACCGCTTGAAGAGTTGGGCGAGTCCTCACCCTCGAGCTTAGCGAGGGCGTAGGCTTGCGCCTGTGCTCTTGACTGAGCTGCGGCTGCCTGCATTTCCTCCCGAGAGGTATTGGCAAAGGACGATGGTCCTTCACGTCGTTGCCGTTTGCTTCCAATTCGCAGGAATGCTTTGATAGAAGCAAACCCATTCTTACTACCGTCAGAATCATGAGAGTTTTGTCTGGGCATGTGAACATCCTCCTCGTTGATGGTCTCAGGTGGCGGAGAAACCATCCTATCTCGATCCGATCGAATCGTCGACCTAGATCGCGACTTAGCCGATCTTAATAGATCAGAAAACCTTGTTCCAGGAGAAACGCTTCCCATATCTTCAGAGGGCTGACGCATCGATGAGGTATCCTTTGTAATGACCTCTTCCATAGGTGTTGGCTGCTCAGAGGCGGCTGTGTCTGTGCGATGAATGACCTCCTCGGCCTTCTTTGGAGACTCGATTTGCCTTTCGTCTTCAGTAATGTCCATGGGCTCTGGATCTTCAGGTTTGGTTTCAGTGACCACAGTGGAAGCAGGGTCGATCCCCAGCCCTACAAGTTCACGGCCCATGACACCTCTCTCAAGATTCTCTGGCGGAGGGGTGCCTGTGTTCCTGGCCTGTATTTGTTCCGCTTGTTGCTTCTCTGCCCTTTGTGTGATCCGTCTCTCCATTCTTTGTCTCTCCTTCTGCTTTTTCAGTTCTCGTCGTCGATTATCTAATTCCATGAGTTCCCTAAGATCGCGGGCGTCGAGGTCGTCAGCAAGGGAATCGATGCGCCTGTGCGATCTCATCGTCTCTTCCGGAATCGGCTCCTGCTCAAGAAGCTTCCTCCTTAGTGATCCAGACCGATGAGGTGTAGGCACATGGGGAGTCGTCCATCGGGCGTTCGGGGTATAGCGAAGTGTAGGTCGAGGTGCAAGAGCTGCAAGGGCAGAGACTCTATATGAGCCAAACTCCGAGTCGGACGAAAGACTAGAGTGTATTGATCCGGGTACTGGAAGTGAGACATCCGAATTGCGACCAGCTCGATGCCTTCCAAATCCCCCAGTTTTTGATCTTTTGGAATCTTTCTTCATGGGCCGGCCTGAATTCCATTGTTCCGTAGCAGGCCGAACGGGAGCAAAGCTACTCATTGCTTTAATTTCGGCTTCTCTGTTGCGTTCTTCTTTCCTCCTCTTACTTCTCTGCTTTCTTGTTGCTTGGTGGGTCGGACGAAGCGTGGGTGTGCGATCCCAGAGTTCGGGACGTTCTTCAAGAGTGCCAGTAGTTCTTGTTCGGCCTGTTCGTTCACGGACTGGCGAGCCAGCGCGGTCTCGATCGGTACGAATGTCATCTTGGCGTCCCGGAGAGAAACTGTAGGTTCGACCGGCTCGCTGAAGTCTGGGCGGTTCGGTACGTCGTTTCTTCAAACCAAGTTTGGGTTCCTCGTTGTGAGGCAGCGGCGCGCCCTCTGCATCTGAGAAAGCAGCGCCGCTGCGGGAGCGCTTGCGGCTACTCCGGCGCCGGAATGGCCAAAGGGCCATGGTTCCTAATTCGTCGCCAAATGCTGGAGCTAATAATGAGCAACCAATATCGTCGCCGATGTACAGTCGAAATCGTCTAGATTATATCGGGTATGCGAGGGCATCGTGGAGTCGTCAAAACGTTCGTACCAAGCTGGTCATCAGGAGAAGCGAGTGAGAGCTGCAGGGTCGTGTCGAACAACTCGCTGCGCTGGTGGGCTTGATGGCCGCAACAAAACGATGTAGGATCAAAGAGGGCGCGTAGGTTGTAAGTACTAATGTATTGCAAGACAAGTACAGCTACTGCGGTGACAGTAAAAATAAGCGGTGATTGTGTATGTATGTCTGTGGATGTAAAAGAATGCAAGTACGCGAGCGAGGTCGTGGTTGTCGTAGGTGTTTGGTGCGTGGCGAAACGTGTGTGGTGGTAAAGAGTATTGAGGAAGCAGCAGGTGCTAGGTAATTAAGGTAAGTGCAAGGAACGGCAGGTGCTGGGTGTGTGGACTCCGGGGGGGGATCATGGGTGTTGGAAAGAAAGACCAATTTTTCAGGGCACCGGGGGCCGGCAGGACAGGGAAGGAAGGGAAGGAATGGGTCAATGGAACAAGCCAATGGCTGGGAGGTAGCTTCCCAGTTGCGGCCAACGAGATGCTGCAGGTTGAGTGGGAAAATCGACGTCAGGCTTCGGCGGAAGCAGAGACAGACAGGGAAGGGCGGGAAAGGCCCACAATCACTGAATTGTGCTTTGCTTTTGGTCTGGTCCCTTGCGACTTGGAAAGTGCTAACGGGAGTTAAGGGCTTCAGTGTGTACCAGGTACGTACCTCCTTTTTTTTTTAGACCTTAGCGCATCAGAAGGACATCAAAGGCCCCCAGATACCCCCTGGTCGACGTGGCAAGGGTCCCGTCTCTCTGGTCTCTGGAGCCCTTTTCAACGGGGTCCTTTTTAGAGCAAATGGAAGTGGATCACTGTAAAAAAGGTCTCACGAGGTAGCGGTACGAGAATCGTTAGTGGATGTAGGCACTCAATAAGCGATGCCCAGTACCAGTACTTGCTGGCGTCGAGGGGCAGGCACCTCACACTTAGGCTGCTGATGAGGTGGCGCTCAACCCGCTGGAGGGGCCGCTGAGTTTGCTGCTGTTGGCGTTGGCTAAGTGCTGGGAGTTAGGCGGCGGGGCAGCCTCGTAATTGAACGGGTAGAGCAAAAAGCATCCGACAAGACTAGACGGTCAACAACGCAATACTCGGTGAAACTAGAACTGGAGCAAGGGAACTCGGATAGAGCAAGCGAGAGGAAAGGTGAAGAGGTACATAAGATAGTGTACGATAAGATAAGTACAGTATGGACATCAATCCAATGGTTAAGCAAGCAATCCGCTCCAAGTCCTCGTGATCTAGGTAGTGGATAGCCCGGATCAAATGAATCGTGTTTAGTTATATGCAAGTCAAAGTGTTTTGAGCAGATGGTGGTCATCGATTGAACAAGAGGGCAGCAATGAGAGGTCAAGCTGACTCGTCTAAACTGAGAGGGGCAGAAGATCTAGCGAGGAAAGCTCCGTAAGGTATTGGTGATTGATCAGGTTGGTTTGTTTTCATGTGGCAGGACCTCACTAAGCTAAGCAAACCATCACCAGAGTGAATTGCCAATTGGCATGAAGATGATGTAAAAGGCGGGGAGTACAAGTAATGGTAGGCACGATTCGTGGCAAGAGGGAGCCAACTTTAGGACTTACCTATCTCTCTAAACCATCTACAGATACCACAGCAGCTGATGATAACGACTGATTCATGGCAAATGCTTAGGCGGTCCGAATTGTGCTCTCGCATTCCTACAATCATGCTCTGAATTCTTCTCACCACCGCCCCTGTCGGTACTTGTGTTCCAAGCAGAGGCTGGGCGGTCTTGGCCCTCGACTAACACTCAGCAGCTGCTAGGTTTTAACTCTGAAAGGCGTAGCGGATGCTATTTTGGCCGCTTTTGAAGGAATTGCATGAAACAAACAGCATGGAAGATGTTGTCTTTGTGTCACGAGCTCAGTATATGCTATTCGTGTCTACGTCAAGGATTACAAGATACTGACAAAAGAACACAACTCCATTTGAGCTTTGATACTTGGCAGTCATCACAGCTGAAGATGGAGCAAAGACGGGCCCTCCGGATCTTCACTCCGCTACGAGCCGTCGATGATCGTCGGTATAGCTCCGTGTATGTCCTCTCCTCGCATTGGCGTTGGCATTGGCTTGGACATTAGATGTCGAATCTCATCTTACCTCAGGGCACCTCAACCAATGCATGAGGTCAAGTTCGTGCCCTTCTGCAATGGCCACTTCCTTAGATTGGCCAATCTCAGTAACGAGAGGGTGTGTATAACCACGAGTTGATGGCTTTGCCGTCACTCCTACTCTATAATTCAGTATGCCACGGGGACACTTTCTCGGTGCTCAGCTCCTCTTTCGTCTGTGATCTTCTACAACGCAACTGTTCGCCACACTTGTCGTCGCCGTTGCAGCCACAAATTAGCTTGGCTCAACTTTGGAAAGTTCCCTGCCATCGACAAGATCGAGTCAAACGCCTTTTCCGTCTCCTCGCGGGACATCATTGAATAGTAGCCATGGATCAAGCAGCCATGTGCACATGTCAGAAAATGTTGTTCTCGTCGCTTATTCTCGTCGGCTTCTCTCTCCACCCGTGGCCGTGAATCGCGATAGCTGGTCTCGTGGTTCACGACACCCGCCACACGATTGAGTGCAGTATGTACTATCAACAGACATTGGGTTGGACGCTACCAGTAGTTCGACACAGGCCACAGGGGACATCGTTTCGCCCTGTCCGAAGATCTCGTTCGCCGCCATGCGATCGAGGCTGTCACGCCAAAATCCCCCGCCCCTTGCTATTAGGTGACTACTGCAGCTGTTCAGTCATGTCTCACAACCGTCCGGCGCATGCAGAGACTACAGAGAGTGTGTCGAGAGACCACAGTGCTTGCTCCCTCCCTCTTCCGCCTCCTTTAGCTTGAGCACTTGACTTGGACAAAGCAATGTTTCGAAACTACCTTATAGCGCAGTGCTACAGCTGCGAATTGATTTGCTAGCACGTTGCAGAGGTTAGGTTGGGTTGGCAGACGACATCAGGTATCTTGTACCTGAGCCTTTTTGCCAAGCCTCTCTCGTCCGTTTTCCAGGTACCGATACCTATGTACCTCGCATCAGGACCCATGCGACTTGCGCCTGTCTACGCCGTCCCTGCGTGTTTCTTCGTATTTACTTTGGAGAGTACGAAGTCACTTCTTTTGAACCCCGACGCTTGATTTCTCGTTGCCTTCGGGGCCTTCGTATCCGCCAGCCGATGCTTAGAAAGTGCTGACTGAATCTTAGCATCTTGTTTGTTGTTAGCCGTTGGATCTTGTACGGGCTTTTGGAATGTGATGATCGATCCATCCCCTGTCTATCACCAGAAGCTTAACGAAGCCACAATGCTATCAACTACTGTAGTTAGGATAGCCGCAAAGGCCGGCTTTTTAGATATGACAGGGTAACAAATACGGCCAGTTACCGTATTCTGATCCCTGGGATCTTTCTGCTTCTTTCTTTCAATCTTGAAGTCCCCAGAAGCACTGTTTACATACAACAATCCTTGACTTCATCAAGAACATGGCATGCATGGGTAGGGTTATTTCCGAACCAAGTTTTCGTCTCCTCCTACCGTCGATCCAACCTCGACATGGAAATGAGCGTCATGATTACACGAGCAGTTCAGGTCAACAATTACCAAATTGAAGCTCCATGTCGATCAATTGCATTTCAGGATTTCTTTCCATCACACAAGCAGACAGGTCAGGCCGGCTCAGCTTAGCCTTGATGAGAGTTGAAGTTACATATTCGACGTCACACAATGAACTTGTCATACATCCCCGTGGCATGGTCGGCAAGTTTGCCCAGTCCATCGCGGAACATGCCTTGGTACGTACACTGTACTATAGCACTCCCGCAGCACGACCGTTGCAACGTGGAGCTTGGGCCTGATGAACGTTGCGAATCAGGGACCAGAGGGTTCTTTTTGACTTCACCCGAACTTCAGATTGGCCAATGACTTTACAGTTGGGTCAGTGACCCTGAATCGTGTGGCATCTCTACATCCTAACGGCTGAGAAACCACACGATGATCACCGAGAGATCGTCTTTCGAGCTTGCGACACCCCAATAGTCCCATCTTGCAATGTCAACGACACTCTCACTCATGCAGTAGAGGATGGGATCCTTGTCTAACAGTGGTGATTCTTAGCGCTCCCGGCGCCCGCCACGGAAACAAAGGGCGGCCCATCCCTCCGTAACCTTAGCAAGTTCCTCGGGGTTTCCTTGCCCAAGAAAGGTTTCCGCAAGGCACCATGCATGTCAAGTCATGCATGAAGAGGATTTCTGAAGGCTTCTTTTCTGGTTGTCGCCAATAGCCAGAGGATGATTGTGTCGCACAATAAGATATATGTCGCTTCCCGTTGCCTATTCCAATCGGTTCCTGACCAATTTCCGAGCCAAGGACTATTTGCGGTCAATACCAGCGAGTCAATCAGTTCCTGAATCAGTACGCAGCAAATGGGCTTGATCTCTTCGGCAAAAGCGAAGATTAGGTTTGCTCCTTTGTCAGAGTCGATCGGAGCAGATTTGTCCCAGCGTTTCGATGCCCCTGAGCCCATGTTTCATTGGGGAGCATTGGTTCTGGGGACTAGGCTTTGAGCCAACCGATCTCATGTCTCATGTTTCAATGTCGAAGAGCTTTTGCTTTTTTACTCAGACTTCGGGCTTTCCTACCCCCTGGACAAGCAGACAGGCTAGAGTAAGAAGGATGGTGGTTTCGTTTCAGGGGCGCCACTTTGATTGATCAAAAAGTAATGAAACGTCCTGGGGCTGGCTCGGGCGTGCTGGCGTACCGCCACGTGGATGAGATACCGTACGCAGAAGTCGTGGTTGGAGCTGGCAACGTGGGACGAAGACTTTTGAGGAACTGGCTTACAAACACATTCCCTTGGAAGAGTTTTGACCAACGGCCGATAGCCCAAGTTGAGTTTCTTTCACTGAGTCGCTGTATAAGGTAGTATTAGCCATGCTTAGCGACTGTTCACTGCGTGCCGCAGAGACTAGATGTCACGGCAATTTGCTTCACTGTGCTTGCATCTGCTGCATTACCAAGCCACGCGATTGAGTGATTAATTCACAGGTTACAAATGCATAGAGACGAGTTGACGGCTGCAAGTGAGACGAACAAGTGCAGAATAGTCAAGGATCACCAGTCGATTCTCGCCAATGATATGCTGGTGACCATCTGGACTATATTTAGTGATACGAGCGAACGTCACTGATAGCAGTTATGTGGGACATGTCAGTGCTTCTTCCTGCAGCATTCTTTGGGTTTTCGAAAGTGTTATTTCGAGATCAGATGATGGTTCGAAGTTTAGAGTTATCATTCATAGTATTAGAAACTCGATATGGCATCCCTTGAGTACCTCTTGAGTTGTCAGGGTTATCATATATCGTTCGAGATCAGTCGCAGGATTTAGAGATGAAGATGCTCTCTTCTTATAACTAGGGACTAAATTAAACATGGCCAATAGTAAAGTCATCGTTTATCAAAGACATCTGTCGTATTTGTCTGAAGCCACTTTTTAAGATCTGCACAAATCTCCATTTGCTGAAACAATACTGACACAATGGAGTTGGGCGCGATATGCCGTCACGTGATGCCACTTCTCCATGTTTCCACGGCAACACGTATATGGTGTTTATGATTTTCAGTAATCGTGACAAACTAATTAAGCCAAAAGCGCAACCAAAGGAGAGAAGACGATTTTGACAAGATAAAACACAACCGCAACCATGGCGTACAATCCGCGAATGAGTATTATTCCAACCTCGCAGCAGCAATCGCGGACACGAAAAAAGGAGGACGAGGCAGATGCTTTTATGCGTCTCCCTGACCGCGAAATCGTTGGCTGCATCACTGACATCGGCATCAACTTCACCGTCGCAGATCTTCAAAAGCCAAATGCAGCACATGTTCAGCAAATCTTTGAGTGGTTCGCCGAACTCCTCCTTAATGCGACGCGTGAGACTGTTGAGCCGGCCATGCGAGCTGCCGCCGAGGATATTGTTGGAGAATACTCGGATGTCATCCCTCCCGACACTCGCAACCTGATGGGCTTTTATGTGTCGCTGCGCAGGCTGTTGTTTGAGTGTGGCATCACCGACTTCAGCTTCAACGACCTGTATAAGCCGACATATGATCGCCTCGTCAAGATCTTCAGTTACCTAATCAATTTTGTTCGATTCCGCGAGTCACAAACGGCTGTTATCGACCAGTACTATAACAAGGCAGAGTCGACAAAGACACGCATTGAGACGCTCTATGCCGAGAACCAAGAGAACGAGGGTCGTCTGGAAGATATGAAACACAACCGCAAGGCCATGGAGGCCCAAGTCCGAGAAAAGACGATGAGGAACGAGGAGCTCAAGAAGAGACTGCTAGAGCTTCGACGGAACCAAGAAAGGGTTGCTGCCCGTCTGGAAGAGGCCAAACAGAAGAAGGGCGAGCTCACTGCAGTGTTGGAACAAAAGACCCACGAAAAGGTTACCTTGAAACAGGAAAGCACAAAGCTGCGACCTTATGTGCTCCAGAGCGCCTCAGATCTTCAGGAGAACTTGGCCGAACTGCGTGAAATTCTCAACAACGATAAATCACACATCGACGCATTGGACCGAAGAGCACGAGCCCTGCAGACCTCGACAGATTCATTCTCAGTCGTCTCGACAGATGTTGCATCATGCATAAAGATCCTCGATGAGATCGCTGCGGAGCTGGCCAAGGAAGAAGAAGAACTAGCACGTAATGCAAAGCAGCGTGATGCCCTCTCAGAGCGCGGTAACAACGCGCGCGAAGTCGAGCGCACCGAGACTATGCTGAAACGTCAGCTGAGCAAGTGGACAGAGAGGACAGAGAAACTCCGCGAGCAGAGCAACCAGAAGGCGAGGGAGGCCAAGGAGAAGATGCATGAGCTTCGGGCAGTACATAAGCAGCTCACTGAGGAGCAGACTGAGAAGGGCAAGGAGATGGAGGTTCGACGTGTCAGAATCGAGCAGACTGAGAAAAAGGTAGGCTGTCCCGCAACGTTTTCTCTGAGTGGCAAATTACTAACATGTGCATAGATGCTTGACTTGAAGGAGAACATTGAGAATGAGGTTCATAGTGCACATGAAGAGTACCGCAAGATGGAGGCACATATCAAGTTGTACATTGCTGAGATGGAGCAGGCTATTGCCTAAGTCTGTCCAGGGGTAGTTTTTGTGTTTGTCATGCTTTATGTTATGGTTGGCGGTAATATTTGGGATAGATACCATGGGTTGGCGTTGAAGGCTGTAATGATGATATGTTAATGTTGACGCCTAGTATGACTATTTTTATCGTGGAAACGACGATATGATGTTCATTGAGTACTGATACATGCTCGAGTATATTGTGCACTTCATAAGATAGAAGCTTGGCTAGATTTCTCGTAGGAGCGCTCCAACCAATTCAATATTCTTGCTCACGAGTATCGAATTCAAACCATCGACTCAGG